GTTTGAACTCACCAGCCATTCCACAGGACAAAGATGTGGCAGTCTAATTCTGTAAAGATTGCAGCCTTGGAAACCCTATGGGGCAGTTCTACTCTGTTCTACAGGGTTGCCATGAGTTGCAATCGACTCCGTGACAGTGGGTTTGGTTTGGATAGGTTACAGTAGTTGTTTTCATTCTCTTTATTGGAATCTTTTCCCTTTGTTCACAGTTTGTCCTTTAAATGCTGGTATTGTCTAGTATCCTGTTCATGGATTTTCTCACTCATTACTTCTCCCTAGGGCTTGTAATTTAGTGTTATGCTTTAGCGATCACCTATAAATGCTGATCACCAAACCTACTTCCACTCTCCTGACCTTCAGCCCCTCAGATGCTGTCGCTCCCTAGGCAGCTCCATATGTGGTTCCACAGAATGCTCAGTCAACACATCTGAAAGTGAATTCATCCTCCCCTCCAAACCTGCTTTTCTTTCCTGTTTCAGTTGATGTCATCATCCTCCATCCCGACACCCAAACCTAAAACATGAAGAATGTCCAAAAATTTTCCTACTTCCTGCTGTCTAATTAGTCCTTGTCTGTTTATGTTGTGGTTGTTGTTAGGTGCTGTCGAGTCAGTTCCGACTCACAGCAACCGTGTGTACAACAGAATGAAACACTGGCTGATCCTGCGCCATCCTCACAATTGTTGTTATGCTTGAGCCCATTGTTGCAGCCACAGTGTCAATCCATCTATTTATAGATCCTGATATTTCTTGAATTTGCCCCATTCTCTTTCTTCTTATTCCCACTCTCTCAGCTAGATATGCTTCATCTCACCTGTACGTTCCTCTTAACTTGCTGTGCCTTATTCTGGCTCTTCTATAATGTATCTTCCATACTGCTTCTAAAAGTACTTTCCTAAAACACAAACTGGTCATGTTATTCACTTGGTTAAAACCTCTCATTAAAATTTATTGAGTTCTTACTACTTACTGGGCATTATGTTAATCTTTTTCCATTATCTCTTTTAATTCTTACAACTACTCTATGAGAAGGGTACTACTCTTATTTCCATTTTAATGTTTAAAAAAAGACTAATGAACAAAGACATTGAATAACTTGCCCAAGATTATGCACGTGGGAAGTAGCAAACCCATATCTTTTCCTCCTCAAGCCTTGAGCTTTTAGTAACTGCCTATGCTGACCCATCTCTGTTTATAGCCAGTGTTTTCCAAAATGGAGTATAGGAGACAGTCTTCTGGGTGTGGGAAGAGAGTGTTTGTAATGCTATTTATATTGCATGTTTTAAATATTTCAATTTTGGTACCTCTTTCATTATATATAAGTGTGTATATATGTATGTATATATATATGTATGTAGTAACAACCACAGTGCTCCTTAGAAGTGATTATGGTGAGACTTTGGCTCACTTGCATCATCAGGAAAGACCAGTCGCTAGAAAAGTACATCATGGTTGGTAAAGTAGTGGGTCAAGCAGAAAGGAAGGAACCCCTCAGTGAGATAGATTGACACAATAGTGGAAACAATGAACTCCAGCATACCAGTGATCATGAAGATGGCACAGGACAGTGCAGTGTTTTGCTTTTTTATACACAGGGTCGTTGTGAGTTGGCATCAACTTGATGGCACACAACAACAACGTATACATATACATGTATGTATGTATACATGTATATATATATTAGATACCTCACTCCATGTATATATGTGTGTGTAGTATGAAGTGTAAATATATGTTTATATGACAGGATAAATAAAACTGCTCCACAGAGTTTTGTAGGCTGTAATCTTTACAGGGGCAGATCACCAGGTCTTTTCTCTTGCAAAGCAGCTAGTGGGTTTGAACCATTGACCTTTTAGTTAGAGGCCAAGCACTTTAACCATTGTTCCACCAGGGCTCCTTGCATATGTATATGTACTTGTATTCATATGCATATGTATTATATATATCTGTATTTTATATAATATTTATATAAATCATAATAATGTTATATGTATATATATATACATTCACACTGATATATATTATGAAATGTATCAAAAGTATATACTATGGAGACATTATATGCACACATACATGAACATATATGCATATATATAAAATAGATAATATACATGTATTTATAAAATAAATAAATTGACATATAAGCGAAGATGCATATTTTCATGTTTGAGACCTTTTAAGGGTGGGCATAGTATAGACCGTGGGCCAAATCTAGTTCACCGCCTGTTTGTGTAAATAACTTTTATTGGAACACAGCTACTCCTATTCATTTATGCACTGTCTTTGGCTGCTTTCATGATACCACAGCAGAGTTAGGTAGTAGTGACAAGGACCATGTGGCCTAAAATATTTACTATCTGACTCTTTGCAGAAAAAGTTCACTGGCCCTTGGTCTATAGGTTTAATTCTAAGCTCCTAGCAAGATATAAACTCCCTGTTGATTCTCCCTGTTTTCTTCATTATGTTATATCTGTAATTGCATAGTACTACTGTGTTTGCAGTTACCTAAATGTATAATACAGTTTTTTTGTTTTTCAATTGTGATTTAGGTGAAAGTTTACAGCTCAAGTTAATTTCTTATACAAAAGTTTTTACACATATTGTTATGTGACATTATCTGTGATCCCTGTAATGTGACAGCACACTCCCCCTTTCCACCCCGAATTTCTTGTGTCCATTCAACCAGTCCCTGTCCCTTCCTGCCTTCTCATTCTGCTTCAGGACAGGAGCTGCCCATTTTGTCTCATGTATTTGCTTGAACTAAGAAGCACACTCTTCACAAGTATCATTTTATGTTTTATAGTCCAGTCTAATCTTTGTCTGAAGAGTGAGCTTCAGGAATGGTTTTAGTTCTGGGCTAACAGAACATCCAGGGGCCATGGCTTCAGGGGTTCCTCCGGTCTCAGTCAGACTAAGTCTGGTCTTTTTACATGAATTTGAGTTCTGCTCCACACTTTTCTCCTGCTCCGTCAGGAACTCCCGTGTTATAATACAGTTTTGCACCCTTGTGCTTTAGCTGTTTCCTTTCCCTGAAATAGCACTCAACTTCATCTCCTTTGCTTGGTGAACTTTTGTATTCCTTCTTTAAATCTAACTGAGTTCCGAATTCTTCCTACCTCAGTTTCTCACCAAGATAAAGTAAATCACTCTCTCGTTTGTATTATTTCTGTATAATGCTTATGTATCTGTCAGTGCAATTATCATGCGGGTTAATATGCCTATATGCCTTCCATTCTAAGATGTACAGTTTTGAACACTTTTAATATTTCTGAAGTTGAGATGTGTCTTGTGAGTGATCTATAAATTTGATTTGGTAGTGTTTTCTTCTTGTGTCCCTCCCTTCCTACCTCTGTCCTTCCTTCTCTCCTTTCTTTCCTTTTTTAGAAAAATAGCAGTTCTAAATTGACGGTATGTCGGAATTGACTTGATGGCAGTGGATTTTGTTTTTTGATTCCAATTGTTAACATCTTTGGCTCAAGGATTTACTTTATGTATCTTGTCTCTATTCTTGGACTTTAAGCTCTTTGAGGATGAGTTTTTGTCTTATTTATCTTTGTATTTGAAGAAGATGGTATTATAGTGCTGTGTGCGTCCTAGATCCAAGTGTTTCATGGTGAATTAAGTACTAAGTCAATTTATATTGTTCTGTGTTACAATTCCAGATAGTTGTGGCCAGTATTAGTAAGAATTATTAAGTTGGTAATCATACACTATTAGAGATTTATCAGCATCACTTGTTGTTTATGTTGTAAGAAAAGCATTTCATTGTGTGAACTTCAGTAACTTTATTTAGATGGAGTAGCTTAGTTGAAGTTTTTCTTATTGTAGTTCTGCTACTTTAGAGCTGGGAGGAATATAGGAATATGAAGACAGTTAAAAACATGTGTACGATTTTCCTGAAATAAATTGTACTAGAAATCAGATAACACTTTAACTGTTAGTATCCAAATGGAATAATATTGGATGGCACAGTAATGTATATATTTTTGAACTGTATGAGACTTGCAACAATAGACTGCAAAGTCTGAAAAATCAGTTGAGTGACAGTGTCAATAAGTGTATGGTGTTAGCTAGAATATGAAAACATCAGCGCTCAGTACCATTTGAGGGTACATGCTACTGTGACTAAAGAACAAGCTTCTAGCAGTTTACATTTTCTCTTTTAAGGGGTTGAGCGGGAAAAACAGGATCTGGAGAAGCAGAAGTCAGATTTGAGAGTGCAGCTGAACTTCAACGCAATGGCATCAGAGTTAGAGGAAGTGAAGCGGTGCATGGAGCGAAAAGACAAGGAGAGAGCACATTTGGCAGTTGAAGTAGAGGTGACTGCTCTTTTTAAACCATATTTGTAGGACTTCAGTTTTGTTTCACAGAATTGCTTAATGAAATTTTAACATAAAGATTGTGTTCTTTTATGAGCTTGTTTGGATATAGACAATGTAAAATTATGTTGATGAGTATTTATATATAGAAATTCCTATGGATTCATTTCTCTTTCTTTGGGGCTCCAATGCCAGGAACCTGGACTCTTTTTCTCCATTATTTCATAATGAAATATTTTACTGTTATTAAACTGGAAAATATTTTTGTTCTAGTGACAGTTGCACCTTTTTTTCAAACAGAAGTGACTTTTATCTTCTCTGAGAGAAGAGTGGATTATCATTTATTTTGGGGGTGAAGCTGGCACAGCAGAAAGGTGTTAACTGGTATTTCTTCTTTAGAGTCAAAAATGTTTTCAAATCTCTAGCTGTTCTGCATGAGGAAGAATTGTGATGCTTCCATTAATTTAGAGTTGTGTACTAAACATCAGTGACATGGTAATCATGAATCAAGTATAACTATGCAGCTATAGTTTTCTGCTTGTCCTTTATCTGGTATATTGTTGTTGTTCTTAGGTGCCCTCGAGTCAGTTCCGACTCATAGTACCCTACAGAACAGAGTAGAACTGCCCCATAGGGATTCCAAGGAGCAGCTTGGTGGATTGGAACTGGTGACCTCTTGGTTAGCAGCTGAGCTCTTAACCACTACGCCACCAGGGCTCCTTATCTAGCATAGATGGGGTGATTATCAGAAAATAATCAAAGCAAAGGAAAGGACTTCACTGAAAGGAAATAGCTTAATTCCAATTCTAATTATGCGAATTAGATCAAATATAGAGGACACATTTGGAAATTGATACCCATCTGTCCTCCTCTGTATCTGTTTTTATTAATGAAGCTATGTTCTAGTTGTAATAGGTTGCCATGTTTGAAGAGTTTTCTAAATTATATTGAAGGAGAAAATTGGTGTTAAAAGCATCTAACTTTAAATAACTTGAAGAAAACATTTAGTGTTACTCTAGTCTGTTTCTCTTTCATCTTCTCAAAGTATCAATAGAAAATGTCTTTTGGATTTGGTTCAAGATTCAGATTGTAAGGATAATGAAATATTGACATGCTTTCTACAAAGCCCTCGACATGTTTAATAAATACCTGTCATAAATATTCTCAGTGCAATGGTAATTGCATAACTCTTAAAGCATGCTTCATGGGTGTTATTTTAGCCCTTGATCCTGCTGATGAAAGTGCTAAAATATGAGTATTTTGCTGAAGTTATGTATTTTTTAAAAAACTATCGTAATAACTATCAAAGGTAGAAAAATCCCTCTGCTACGTCTTCATAACTGTATGTTAGTTCTCTTTCCCTTCTTTCTTCCTCCTTCCTTGTTTTTCCTCATTTTCCACTTGTGTAATAAGTTGAAACAAATCTCAAATACTTCAGCATTTTTAAATTACTTCTAATAGCCTCATTCAAGGAGCCTGACTTTCCCCTTGCCCTAACTTAATAATCGTTTGATATTTTCACATGGGTTAAGGGAAAAATTTGAGTTTTCTTGGGTTAGTTTGGATTGGGCATATGAATTTGGGTGTTAAAACCCATTGAAGTTGAACGTTTACTCCTACATCAAATACACATTGATTGTCTGTTACATGCCAGGCACTGTTCTGGGTGCTGGTGACATTAGCAATGAACAGAAAAACAGGCCAACTTCCCTGTTTCTGTGCAGCTGACATTCTAAAATTGATACAGAAAATTCTGCAGTGCTATTGCTTTGAGTTTGTCACCCTTCTTGGGACAAATTCCTTTTGGTGGGTGAAAGATTTTTTTCCCCAGTTGCTATTGAAAAAGATATCATAAAATGACATTGTTCATCCCTGGAAGAAATTACTATTAACCAGTTTTATTTTTATCGATTTTCTTACTATTTTTAACAATAAAATAATTTATTAAATTTATATCAGTTGCTTTAGATTTAGTGACACTTCTGATTATGCTCCTTTTATTCTTCATTCCTGGTGGAGGCCCTTTGAATGTCTTTATTCCCCAGATGTTTTCAAACTGATGTCTAGTGCAGACTGTGAGAGATACAGGTTATGGATCTTTCAATTGTAACCAACAAAAGTTGGAAATTTAATTGAAACTTAATTGAATAGAGTCCAGCCTCTTTATTTTTAAACCCTGGGTGGTGCAGATGGTTAAATGCTCAACTACTAACTGAAAGACTGGCGATTTGAACCCACCCAGAGGCACCTTGGAAGAAAGGCCTGGAGATCTGCTTCTGAAAGGTCACAGCCTTGAAAATTCTATGGAATACAGTTCTATTGTGCAATACATGGAGCTACCGTGAGTCGAAATTGACTTGCTAGCAACTTTTTTTTTTTTAGACAGTATTAGGTGGTGTTGCATTATATATTCTATAAAATATGGTTATTTATATCCCTTAATTGCTTTTCAGAGACTAAATATGAATAGGAAAAGATGCACAAAATGAGGTTTTTGGTCAGGACCAAGAACGTGTGTATAGTAACATTTCTTCCTATAGGTTGTTCAGTCATTAATGTCTTTCTTTTTAGCCTTGACTTTCTCACAACTCTCCTACAGGAACCTCATATGCAATCTTGTCAAACAACTAATTTTTTCATAAGTTTCCTTTCTTATTTCTATCTTTTTGCCTTTGTTCTAGTTGTTCACTCTTCCTGTAATGTCTTTTTTTTTTTTCTTTTTTTTTTCTGGAAATACTAAACCTTTTCCACCCTGAAGTTTTCTTGGAGTATATCAACTGCAAGTAGTAATACTTCCTTCTAACGATTCTTTTGTCCATATCATTAATGCAGTTCTGGAACATTTCTTATACTCTTTTAAAGTACTTTAGGTGTATTTTCTTAAAATTTCATAAAGGGTTGAAATAAAGCTGAAAGGGGACTGCAGGACAACTACCCTGTCACCAAAACAGATCCTGCCTTAATATCCTTAATGTGAAGAAGTCGTCATGCTTCAAGGTCTTGTCTACACATCTGGAAATCTGAATTTTTTCTGTGTCCTATAATTCATATGACTCAGAAGACCGGCTCAAATTAACAGTTAAATCCACAAGAGAGCAGTGTATAAAGAGCACCAGTTCATTGATTTACGCTCTGGGGAGTCCTGTACAGATTTTAAAACACCATTCTCCTATGAAGACCCCAACCTCCTAAGTTTCTGCAGCTAGATACTTGGAAAGCTGAATTAGTAACCAGAACATTGCTTGGTGAACACAGAATCAGAGAATAATAATGCTTAAAGGTTATTTTGAGCCCTGGTGGTGCAGTGGTTAAGAGCTATGGCTGCTAACCAAAAGGTCAACAGTTCAAATTCACCAGCTGCTCCTTGGAAACCGTACTGGGGGTCGGGGGGACAGTTCTACTCTGCCCTATAGCGTCGCTAGGAGTTGGAATTGACTTAATGGCAATGGGTTAAAGGTTATTTGCTTATAGCTCTAGTAAAGTCCTCCTCCCTCCCCTTCAGCTGAATCCGTGTAACCAGAGATCCTATTTATTTCAGCCAGATTGGCTGTCTTTATTTCCTGGGATGTGTTGAACTAACATCTCTTGTCTTTCCAAAAATCCTTTCCTCTACTTCCATCCTGATGATCAGTCTCCTCTTTACCTTTTCTTTTGATATGTTACTGTGTACAGATTTTGCTCTTGGTCATTTTCCAATACGCATTGATGTTATTCATACTTGTGGCATTCTGGGAGCCACTTATGAATTAAAGACTTATATCCCCTTGTAGATCATAAAGTGGTATGGATCAAGAACCAGGTCTTATGTCTGTGTCCCCTTTTACCCTCATACAATGTCTTACCCATATTAGAAAATTAATATTTGTTGACTGAAGCAATATATTGTAGAAAAGTGCTATAGTTTTTTTTAAAAGCTAACATTTGTTGTCCGATCATTTCTAAAAGCATATTAATTTCTGCAAGAGTTGTCAATATTTAAAGAGACCTTTGTTTGCTCTGTCTCACTAATTGTATTAGTTCTTGTTGATCCAGAATATGTATTTTAAGCAGTTGTTTTACACTGGAGAAAACAGTGAAAATAGCTTTTAAAAAACCCAAATCGAAGCTATGTTGAGTTTGCATAATTTACCTTTTAAATTGTACCTATGACCTTAAATCAGTATATACATAGAAAATACTAAGTGCATTTTTCCCTTCTTCTAAACTCAAGTTGAACCTCATTAACCTTGATAGGCTATTTGTATTCATAAGAATTCCAAGCATCCTTGATCAATGATTCCCCCTGATTTAATCTCTGCCTCAATTTTCTATCAACTTACTCTTCTTTGGAAAAAAAAAAAAAAAAGACTTTTAAATTCAGTGAAGTACTTCAAAGGAAAAGAAAACAAGGTACTACACATAATTAAGATTAAATCTTGAAAGTGATAATTGAGTGACAACTGACATGATTATTTATTAGCAAAGACTTGGTACTGTAATGCTGGAATTTGCTTTTAAAAAGACATGTAGTGGAAAAAAGAAATAATAATCAGTAATAACTTTTTTTTTGATTAGTATAGTAGAAACAAAAGGAAGATTATTCCTTTTACCGTGATTCTAGCATAAACTCTTGATTTTTGTATTTCTTCTATAAAACTGACCCCATTGCTATGCAGGAATGTCCCCTTCAAAACTGCTTTTAGTAGTGAAAGATTAAGCCCTACCAACGATCTAAGGTCTTAGAGACCTTAATTATTCTGACTGTAATTTCCTTTTCTACTTAATGTTTAATGCTAATCATTTCTTCCTAATCTAGGTGCATGTTGTAAAATAACATATTACCTGAGTGTTAAGTAATTTTTAATACCCAGATTAGATTGTAAAGAAAACAAATATTAGCAACACAGCCTTATAGACAGAGGCTAAAATTATGTAGCTTAGTTTAGCGGAGATAAGGTCTTACTCTGTGTTTAACCAAATTTACTCTGACATTGGGACAAACTGCTAAGTATATAAATGTT